TTGATGCCATGGCACTCTACCCAGGGGGATAGCTTGAGGCTCCGTCTCAAAAAAAAAAAAAAATTCTCTTAATGTTAATGGCTTGAACTCCCCACTGAAAAGGCACGGGCTGGCTGATTGGATAAAAAAGCAGAAGCCATCCATATGTTGTCTCCAGGAAACACATCTAACTTTGAAGGATTAAATCAAGACTCAGGGTAAAGGGATGGAAAACAGTATTTCAGACAAATACAAATCAGAAGAAAGGAGGGGTCACAATCTTATTTTCAGATACAAGTGAATTTAAAGCAACTAAAATTAAGAAAGACTAATATGGTCACTTCATACTGGTTGAGAGAATAATACAACAAGAGGACATTTCAGGTGGTGCCCACAGCACAGTGGTTACTGCAAGAGCCACATACACTGAGGCTGGTGGGTTCGAACCCCACCCGGGTCAGCTAAACAATGACAACTTTTCTGATACCAGGGCAGTCTGCCAAGGATGACAAAGTGAAACTCTATCACAAGAAAAAAAAAAAAAAGAAATACTCAATACCCTTATGAGAAAAATTAAAACACTACTGTGGGATATAAAAGTAGAACTGAAGAAATGGAAAGATAGACCCTATCCTTTGGTTAAAAAAAAAATCTACATCACAAAAGTCTCTTCCCTATGAGTTAATTTATAAATTTAACTTTAACTTAATAAAGTTACCAATTGTTTTATTTCTCCTGGAATTAGCTATATTATTTATAAATTCATTTGAAAAAGTAAACAAGCAAGGTAAACTCTGAAAATGAAGAGCAATGTGGTACAGCTATCCCAACCAGATAATAAAACACACTCTAAGCCTTAGAGTTCTCAACCTGTGGGTCGCGACCCACAGGAACTATATTAAAGGGTCGCAGCATTAGGAAGGTTGAGAACTACTGCTCTAAGGTTTCCTACTGTTAAAGGAGTATGATAATGGGTGCATGACTAGACAGGCTAAAGGAGGAGAACATAATCTGCAGAAACAAATCCAAATATATACAGAAAATTTAGTGGATGAAAAATAGCAACTCAAGTCAAAGTGGCAAGAATGAGTTTTAAATAACTGGTTTGAGACAACTAGACAGCCACCTAGAAAAAATAAAATTGAATCCATACTTCTCCTCATGTACCAGATAAAAGCAAATTGATTTTTATTTAATTAATTAATTTATTTGCAGTTTTTGGCCGGGGCTGGGTTTGAATCTGCCACCTCTGGCATATGGGGCTGACACCCTACTCCTTTGAGCCACAGGTGCTGCCCCTGCAAATTGATTTTTAAAATTTTAATATTCAAGAAAGAAGCCATGAAAACTATGAGAAAACATAACTGAATTTCTTTTTATTTTATCTTATTATTATTTTTTTTGCAGTTTTTGGCTGGGCATAACTGAATTTCTTTATAAGCTAACTATGACTCAGAGACACAGAAGATACATGCAAAAAATAGTAAGTAATTTTGACAGCATAAAAACAAATTTTAAGTGCACCAGAAGATATGCCATAGCAATGCTGAAAGATGAATGTCAAAAATGGGAAAATATATTTACAGCTTACACAGTGGATAAAGGGCTAATTATCTAAGTATATGAGGAATTATAATAAGCCAATATGAAAAGACCAATTCAGATCCAGAATTATTTAAAGAAAAATGAGTGGCTCAG